TCTCTTAAATGGGTGTCACATGGTCATACTTTCTACGTCCAAAGTAATTTTTGCAACTCTATTCTGTATCGATTGAAGAAAAGCAATAGATCTCTCTGGTAATCCATTGAACAAGCTATTACAGTAGTCTAACCGTGAATAAACAAACGCATGAATTAGTGTTTGCATGGTTGTTTGATGTAAATATTTTCGAACGCGGTATAACTGGCAAAGCTGATAAGAACATGATTTGGATATGGTTTTTATATGATCTTTAAAAGATAATCTCGAGTCAAAAATACACCCTAGGTTTGTTGCATTTTCACAAAATTGTATTTCATTATTATCAATTTTGACTGAATTAATATTAATTTTAGAAAGCTGTTGCCATGTACCGACAGGTAAAAATTGAGTTTTATCTTGATTCAATTTGAGACAATTTCTTGACATCCATGTACCTATTTTAGTCAAGCATTCAATGAGATTTTCAACTTTACTTTCAAACAGTTCTGGTTCACTGCTAACTATTATTTGGATGTCATCAGCGTACGCATGATATGAAAATCCAAAGGATTCTATTACTTCATATACTTCAGCAGTGTACAGTACAAACAGAATAGGTCCCAGGACTGAGCCTTGTGGTACACCAGATGACATTGCTTAAATACCAGATAATTTGTTCCCAAAAAAAACCTGCTGAGTTCTGTTAAACAAGTACGAATTGAACCAATTAGCTACAACTCCAGTAACTCCGTAACCATATTGTAGGCGATTCATCAGTATTTGATTGTCTACGCAATCAAAGGCAGCAATCATGTCCAAGAATGTAAGCAAGAAACATATTGTTTATCAATTGCATTAAACAACTCAGACGTAACATACAGCAGTGCTGTTTCAGTTGAGTGATAACGTTTATATCCAGATTGAAATACTGGTATTAAGCTATTTTTGTGTAGATGACTCAGTAGCTGACTGGCAACAACTCGTTCAATAACTTTAGAAATGTTTGATATGGGTCTGTAACTTTTCATTTCATTCCTATCATCTTTCGTTTTCTTCAAGACAGGTGTAATAACTGCGTGCTTACATTTATTCGGAAATACTCCCTCTTGCAAACATAAGTTAACGAGGCTTGCGAGAAAAACAATAAAAATATCTATATGTTTTTTAAGCACATGAGTCGGAAAACATCTAACATACAGGTTTTAGCCGGTAGATCTAGCACAATTTTCTTTATGTCTAGTTCCTCAACGACAGCAAAATTTGTGAGCAGACAATTTTCGGTAAGGCTACATCTGTTAAAAGTAGGTTTTTCGTTAATACTGATAGTATGTTTGATCCGATCGGTCTTTTCTAGAAAAAAACCCATAAATTGAGAAGCCGTGATGTCAACATTATCATAAAGTAAGCTATGGTTACCTTTACAAAGAATTTTGTTTACTACGTTTCATATACCCTTTGAATCACCATTACTATCAGCAATCAACGTTTTCCAGTAATCATTTCTTTTTATTGAAAATAGTTTGGTTTTATTTTTCAAAGAAGCGATCCATTCATTTCGACTCACTGATGACAAACAACATCTGTATTTCCTTTCTTTACTTCGACAGTATCTTTTAGCTGCTCTACACTCATCATCAAACCACGGAGCCAAAAGATCAAGATGCTAAGATGCTCGATAAACCAGAGAGGCGCAATTTTGTCAGCAATCTTCCTCATTTCGTTATTTAAAACATTAAATTCACAATTCACATCTCGACTTTGACAAGGCTCATGCAGTGGTAAATTCATAACAAGCATGGTAAGTATATTTTCATCAATACGTTTCCATGGCCTAGCCAATCTTGAAGTTTTGTTATTACATGCTCGAGTTATCGGTATGTCAACATGTATCAAGCTATGATCTGAGTAAACTCCACAAGGGAATAACCTGATATTTGTAATTTCAAAATTGTGTGAAGTAACCACCAAATCAAGTGTACCACCGAGAACATGTGTTGACTCATTGATGTAATTTGTTAATTGGAACATTTCAAACACTTCAATCAGATTAACGGTATGTCGATCTTTGTTTATTTCAACGTGTATGTTAAAATCACCAACTAACATAACATTCAAACTTAAAATTATAATATTTTCCAAAACAAAAATGAGTTCATCGAAAAATGTAGAACTGACTTGAGCCGAACCAGGTCGATATAACGCCAATAAAACAAAGTCTTTATTATTTACGACCATTTTAATAGCTACAGCCTCGAACGTTGTTAGAACAGGTAGTTCAATTAATTTATATATAAAGTTTGATCTAAACACTACAATTATTCCTCCATGCCGCGGATCATTTAATCTAAGAAAATCAACATAACGATATCCTGATGGTATAGATGATTTTACTGAAATATTGTCTGTTGAACCATGCCATGTTTCCACTAAAACAAAGATGTCCAAACCCTCTTGAATTAATTCATAAATAATATCAGACTTTGAGTTGACAGATCTTATATTAAGTAGGCCAAGCAAAATGTTGCACTTATTTTTTGTTGCATCTGTAGCCAAATCTTTAATTACTTTATTTTTACTGAGACAATTGTTTAAGTGAATTTTTTTAAACTGTATTATCTTCCATCTTCCAACTGGTCCTCTGACACGGTATAAAAAATTCTCTTTATCATCAGATTGCATTGATTTAGCTTTTTCAACAAACGTCTTATACTCCTGCCTCTGTTCCTTTGTCAAATCACTTAGTCCAACACCGGCAAATTTATCAGCTATTGTTTTCATGTTGTAAACATTTCTCATTATTGAATTCTTAATCTTTGCATTTTCCAGCTTTATCAACAATGGTCTGACTACGTCATCACTTTTTTTACCTAGCCTGGTAGTTCTTAGAACATCCTTCTCTGAAATGTCTTCAACCAAATGTTGCAATATCTTCATAACATCAGTGCGATCATTGTCGCTCTCAACTAAGCGAAAAACCATCAGGTTTGACTCTCTGTCTTTCATCTCATTCACTTCAGTCAACACTTTCTGAACGGTTCTAACTTCATTGTTAATTATTTCAGTATTTTTTTTAACTTCTTTACTGACAATGCTGGCGAAAGTAGTACTGTAGTAAAGTAGTACTCATTTCTTGCTTTAAACTCTTGATGTCATGACGAATTGAAGTATCTGTGCGATCAATATCAACTAATTTATTTTCGTTCGAAGTTATCAACATTTTTAAACTGACTATTTCTGATCGAACCTGAGTGTTGACTTCATCCAGTTTCTCAAGTCTTGTTATCATCTCATTTTTGTTACTGTCAATTTTATCCAATATATCTTGTCTACTAGCATCAACTGATTTTGAGAGTGAACGGAAGCTTCACACAACCATCACAGAACCATTTCAAACCACTGCAGTTTTTCAAAGCATCAAGTAAACTATCATTAGTAGAAATACACTTTACATGTACGACAATATCACAACGACTGCAACGTAATACACTATCCTTATCTTTGACATTTGTACTGCCTAAAAACTTCGCACATTTAGGAGACATGTTTACCTGGATACAGTCAAGACAGCGCTATAGGCTGAGCGTTGAAATTAGTCACGTGATAACAACAAATTAAAAAGCTTACAAATTTAGTTCAAACTCAGCGAAAACTACAAATTAAGAGACTAAAACTATATTACATTAATCTTAAATTTTTTTTATAAACAAATTATCCCTTTTTCAATGAAATTATTATACAATTAAATTTATTTAAGCCAAAAATGTGACGAGTGAAATATCCGACCATCCACAACCAATATACGTATGTATGTTGGTAATAGACCATTTATATATATATATACAGTTGCTTAGAAACATCACAGCATTGCAGACATTGTAAGCATTGTTCAATTGCAAATAAACGGCGAATTTCAGTTCAAGTGAACAGTTTTGGTGCAATTCGATTTTGCAAAGCGTGTGATACGGTCTTGAAATCAAACTGTTTAGAAAAATGGCCAACTATTGTGTGCCCAACAGATTCACTAAATTCATAAAGGAACGGATGGCAGATAGAGTCAAGTTTGATAATGCTAGAAACAAAAGTGGAATGATGACATCTGGTTAACCACCACCACTGCTATTCTTTATATGCATAAATGCCCTGCCTTGTAGATTTCAAGATAATTCAATGGTACGTGCTTTTGCTGACAACCTTGCCCTAGCTCAACAAAAGGGAAAAATGAAAAAAATTGTCGCAACAATGCAGCAAGAAATTGATGTTGTGGTCGAATGGAGTAAAAAAAACAAAACAAAAAGCAGTACAATACGATCCGATACAATTTTATTCGACCCCAAAACAAGTTTCGTGACCAAAGACGACTGGGGAGTCTACGAAATACTCATCAGGGTATCATCAGAGCCACCTAACATAAAAAGACAAATTTTAAAATCATTCACTGAACAGTTTCATAAATGAACAGAACATAGATTAACATTATGTCCCTAATCAAAATATTATATGAAACGTGCGAATACCTAAGTAAGACACTTATATCACACAACAATTTGATATTTATAATAACCATATAAAAATCAAGGACCTAACATGTCATAAACATGCATATCCTTAATCCAAAAACCATATAAAATGTGCAAATACCTGAGAATGTCTGATGAAGTTGAGCATAGAAAAATGCAGTGATTATATCTATACAACAGAAACAAGTGAAGTCCAATAGACATTTGACTTCAAAATGAATGGGATAGCAATGAGGTTCGAAAAAACACCAGTGTTCCTTGGAGTTATCTATGACAGACTGTCGAATTTTAGACCACACGCCCATATAATGGTGGAAAAGATAGAGCTCTGAGTGACGGCAACTTGAGATAAATAAAAACAACAATTAGAACAATTTACGTTGCTCTACAAAAAAGTGTAGTAAAATATGTGGCTGCGGCGTGGGAGTCATAGATGGCCAAAAACCCATATGGATAGATTGAGGACACAACAGTTCAAGGCAGCTTCAATCGTATGTAGATTTATGAAAACTCTCCAAAGAAAAGCAGCAAAGCAATCTGACCTGCAGATATATGTTGATGGTTCAGTTGATCATAGCAGGATTAGCTATATAGGGCAATCAAGAGTTATTTTCTAGCTACGGTATTAGTGCAGGAAAATGGTGTAGCAGTTATGGTGCAGAAATGACTGTAGTAAGAAAGGCTGGAAAATGGCTGAAAAATCATACATGGAAAAAGGTCATGATAACGACAGACAGCGTGGCAATTATCAGCTCGCAGCGGAAATAATATTATTAAAGATGATGAAGTAGTAAAAGTGATTGAAGAATTGAATGAATCGACTACAAAAAAAAAGAAAAATAACAGTAACATGGATACCTACCCATTGCAACATCAAAGGAAATTAAAAGGCAGAAACGGAAGACTGATTGAAATGATGTGTTATCAGAAAGAAATTTTGGCAAAACGAATTTTATATATGGATGTAAAGATGTCAAACCAAAAGCTATGAAATCGAATTGAACATTTTATTTATTTAACTATTTATTTTTAAAAACTGTTTGTATTACAGCGGCAAGAGGCTTTGTCTGCAATGAAAATTTTTTAAATTTTATTCTACTTTATAAAGTATTATGAAAATGATCAAAAGTTTTATAAACATTTTCAGGTTTTAGTTCATTTGTTTTGCAAGTTTGTTTAAAAACTTTTAGTTAAAATATTTACATTTTCAATAAGAGACGTAAAATGAGTTTGAGTGCAAAAATATTTTGAACTTTGACTGCTATGCAAGAAATTATGTACAAAAAAATTATTCAAATTACTATGAAGGAATCTGTAGTTTTCAGAATTTCCTGTTTCTGGAGTTCTAATTGTGTATTTAACATTCTGGAAAAATCGTTAATAAATTTGTTGATAACGCATGTTAATTTATTGGTAAACTGAGCTAACCATAGTTTTAAATTTAAGTATGTACTTTACTAATGAAGTGCAACAACTTACTGAACAAAAAATATTAAATAAGATCATCAACGTAACTACAATTAATAAAAAGTTTATGCTTAAAAATTTGCTAGCTACATTCAGAAGAAACGATTTGATATTGTAGTGTCAGTCAGTGAGTCGGAGTCGGTGGTTTTTATCCGACTCCAGTCCCTCAAAAAAATTTCTCTCCCACTCCGGGTAAAAACCTCCAACACCCTTTCTCCGGGTTCTGAATTCCAAAAAAATTCTTAAACTTTTGCATCGTAATTTCATTTTATTATCATTACTAGATAAAAATATTTAAAAAAACACTTAAAATCAATAAATGTAATTGTTTCTCTTAATAAAATTACTTTATTTTATTGTTTTACAACATACTGAAAGAAAACTGTGTGATTTTATTCACATTATTAGCATTTATTTTCAGAATTAAAGATGATTGCTTATCACTTCATATATTTATCCTTTAAAAAACACTATCTTAAAAAAATTAAAAAAAAAACACTTTTTTCAAATAAATAAAATTTTCCGGAATTCGATTCGACTCTAGTCCATAAAAAAATCCGACTCCACTCCGGCCAAAATTTACGACTCCATCACTCTTGTATCAATAAATGATACTGATAAGGACGTGATAATTTATTCAAAGTAAAGCTCACTTGAATTCATCTTCTTTCGTTAGAAATCCATACCGATCCATTGAAAAATTTCCACTCATTACCATTAAACAAAATTGCAAACTTAGAAATTCATTGATTTTTGCAGTCAATTTTTCTATTATAAAACCTTGGAAAATTAAAGAAATATTAAAAATGAACATATTTATAAAAGGTGTTGGAGAAACATAAAAAAACTGATAACTCAGACGCTAATCATCTCTTATCTTATTGATCTAATTAGATTGGCTGCGGTGGTCTTGCGGTTATTTGACTCAAATGCAAAAAGAGAGATTGGGTTCGAATGTAAAAAAAATTCCAGCCTATCACATGCAATGAGTCTATTTCTTGTTGATACTCCTGAGAAATGCTAGAAAGAACTGTGAAAAAAAACTGTTGTGAGGTAGAACTTTTTTAAAGCGCAGATTCGTGAAACGAACAAAACTGAAAGGCGGTGCTATGGTGTAAGTTATTGTAACTGGCATTGTTGTCGCAGAGACCGACTAAGAAGATCCCCACCTATCTCATATCTGATGTGATGATTCGCGTGCATTTACATACACTGTGTGTTAGTTGTTGATACCACAGAGAAATACTTAAGAGAGTATTGGATGAGTAAATAAATAAAAAAAACTATTGGGAGTGCTTCCTGCATCACGCATGGATGATACTTGCTCATGCTGTGACATCGAAGACCAACAGATTATTCTAATTTTGATACCGCCTCATGGCACATAGGTCGACGCTCCAAGTCTTTAAAAAATCTGGTTAGTCCCATTTGTCAGGCTTTTTTCATGTCAATCGATCTGTGAAAATATAAAATATCTTCAAGATCAACCCTAAACACGGCTTTTGTTGCTGCAACATTAGATATTCAAATAGGTAACACAACAATTTATCAAATAACATTTTGCAAAGACGTTTCGCCGATAGACAATTTGCCGAAAAAATATTTTGCTGAATGCCATATTGCCGTGTTACCAAACAACATTCTGCAGCTAATTTTATCAATCGGCATTTTGCAACGTATCTTTTTTACAGAATGACAATTTTCATGAAAAAACTTTTGCGGACGACTTTCGTCGAAAGATTTTGTTTTTTACAATTTTAAAATATAATTGAAATAACTTTAGTGTTACTATTAACAGAATAAGATTGATAATAAAATAATTGTAGATCTTAAAACATTATAATAAAACAGTTAGTTATAAAAGGACAATGAAGAATAAAATTAAAATTTTTTAAAATTATTAATCGTTATTACACAAGCATATACATAAATAAATTTTTTAAATACTTTAACAATGATATAGAAAACTCCAACTTTTGAACATTCTAATCAAAATCATGTGCTACTCCTTTAAGGTAATCAAACAAATTGCGATAATCAATTTTTTGTGGTAATTGTAGTAATCAACCACAATGGTTTCTATGCGTTTAGCACAATTTTGGTATGTTTTTTGTGAAAGTGGTGGATCATTTCCTGCAACATATATTGATTAATGACAAACTCATTAAAATTTTGATCTTGTAAACCATTAATGAATTTCCAGATAGTAGGATGATGTGCTCCAATTAATTGACTGAATCGACCGACGATGCCATCCTTCTACGAAGTTGTAGATTTTGGAATTTCATTATGAGCTGCATTAAAACAATTCCATTTTAAATCTTGGAGAGCGTCGATTATTATTGAAGATATATCTGCCACTATGATTATCCACAAAGTAGTCTAGAAGATCTTGGACAGTTGCCCAGCATGTTCAGAAAATTCCCTTGTAGTTAGCGTTTTAAATGCATCAGTAACATAATCTACAGGAACGTATTATAATGTAGGTATTTAACAGATATTTAGAACATAATCAGGATCTGATTTATATTTTTCCATTAACCAGGGCATTAGTTGTACTTTACGCCAAATACATAGGTTAAGTGAATAAAACATCCACGTTATGATGCATTTGGAAATGTACAATAAATTTCATTAATTGCCCCTATTTCCAAATCAGTAAATATGGTGTGATTAAAATAAATTTTTTTAAGTTTTCCACGCCTTAAATATTCTTACGTACGTCATTCTCGCCGACCAGGCATTAAAATTTACACTGCTGGGATGACATTGTCTTATTGGATGCCACGGTGGTATATAATTGTGAAAATAAAGGTGAAACTATAAAGGTGAAACTATTTTAAGAGTAGTATCACAATGCCAATAATTACTTAGTGACAGAAGTTGTAAATTATTTTAGTTTTTAGTTGAAAATATTAATAATTATTCATCTGTTGGACCACTGTCAAAAAAATATAAATTCTTCATTTCTGTGACCTTGTTATCGTTTGGAATTTCCAATTCCATAAGATTTGCGAAGACAAGTGGTGCATGGTTAATGCGCTTTCTTTTTCTTTGTATTGTTTTCTTCAACCATAGAGGCAAATGTTTGCCGCTACCGTTAAACTCGCATTAATAACCGCTTTTATCTAGATTTTTGAAATATTTGGCATCAACAAGTCCAGAGTCAGGTACATTGAATATGGTTAACCGTCGACCGAAAAATTTCATTAACGTCCATTTACCTTTATATTTTATAGATTTCCAATACATTTTATTTTCGACAATCTTATTGAATCTCAAGCTAGATAGATCCATATATCCAAAAGAGTCCACAATAAAGAAAAATCAAGTTCATCATCTTTGGCATCAACTAAAGGCTTCTTCATATGTATTACGTTGCCGGTTCTGTCAATAACTGATAACTCTTTTTAGTCATCTGTGTAGAATAGAAGATTTAATCAATAGTCGACACTCAAATTAACTTTTTAATTTTTTTAACAGTTCATTGCATCACACTTTTTTGTAGTACGCCATTAGTGTCTATTATTGAGTGTTTACACCTATTTGAAATTACAAATCACTAGTATTTTATTTTTAACATTCTAAACTCTTCCGTTTACCATAATAGCTTTATCTAAAACAAATTCCTTTAACCTACAAAAATAATGCACAAAAGCGTTCCATAATTTTACGTGCCATATTTAGTTTACATTAGCAACCGTCAATTTTTTTCTTACAGCCTCTGGCCTTCATAAATTACCAAATTTTTAAAATATATATTTTAGTTTAGTCACTTGACTCGATGATAATGAATGTTTTGCCAATTAGCATCTTATCACAGTCCTCATAGTCAATCAATAACATTATATTATCATTAGCGACATATTACTTTTTATTACTTTCCACCGATTGCCCGATCGGATGATTAGCATCTAAAAACTATTTTCAAAAAAAATTCACATTTATAAACTCGTTAGAAAAAACAATTCACTTTTAATCAAACTTTTTATCAAAAACGTAATTTAATACCTGTGGGCGTCTGAAACAAAACGAGTTAAAACTGTTGTCACGAGTCTCTTATTTTAATAACGACTGTTATATGATGGGCTTCATATAATTAACGTTGCTACACAATATTTTTTATTATATGTGGAAAGCCACGAGATTAGATATTTTTGTAAAGCTAACTATGTTTCGTTTTTGGTACCAAGCAGGGAACGGTGTATCAAAAATGAATTCCGTCAGCTTAATGGAACATGGGTACGTAATATGCTAATGACCCTTTGACAGCACATTTGTTAATTGCTCCATAGCAGATAATGTGGTAATAATCAGGGCTGTGACGTCTCGAGACAATATCTCGTCTTGAGACGAGCTCTTTACTGTCTTGATTTTACCTCGAAACGTCAAAACATAGGACTCGACTTTGTCTAGTTTTAAAACAATGTCAGTCTTGGTCATGAATATATATCCATGGTTTTGGTATTGTTTTTTTTTACTGTCTTGATACGTCCTGAAAACAAGACGCAGATAAAAAATAATTTTTGTATATTCAACGTTTTAAATCATTTTTGATAAATTTTCCAGTAAATTCACATTAACCATATAATTAAGACATTTTTATATATTATTAGCATGTGTAACTTAGCATGCATGCACCACATGTTGACATAATTTGAGGAAAAAATTTCTCATTCTTAGTGCTTGGTGTTGATATCTGGTAATGGTAATTTAAAAGTAATAACGACATAATCAAGATAGTAACATCAATCAGATGGTCCAAGCGATACAATCGTAATTCTTCAAGCTTCAAATCATCTTCCATGTCATAGACATCTTGATAATCTTCTAGACCCGAAAACTTTAAACGCTCATATTGCTTAGTAGGCTTATGTGCTGCGCGCATAAGAATCTTGTTATGCTGTGCAATTATATAATTTCCTTTTATTTAAATGAAACAAGAAAACTGTTTTAATAAATAATTTTTTTTATTAATCCAAAGATCACGAAATAAAAAAATATAATATGAAAATATTTTTTTTAATTTTCAACTTTTTTTTTAATTTATTGTTTTTATTGAATTTATTTGTTTTATTTATATTGTCATTATTATTTTTTAACAAATTGTTACAGAAGCAGTTAAACAAAGTTCACTTTGACGTTATGATTACTAAGACAGAACATATCTTCAACCAACAAAACGTCATTTTGTGTATAATTATTTACAAGTGTTGTGAAAAATCTTCGTTGATAGAGGTTTTGAAAATTTTCATAGCTGTTTCTGAATTTTTCATAGTTTGAAAAATTTGCTAGCAGCCTGGACAAGCTGAAAATGTATATTCAGCTGGCTTCAACAAACCTTTCCTGTTGATGTCTTGCAAATAAACTACAATGTTAGAATGATCTTCATTGGAATAAAATGAATTATCATCTAAAAGGACCTCCCTGCAGTCAAGACATCTAGTCGTACTAAGTATATATTTTACTACTGCCCCTGCTACATAATATATTGTACTATCTTCATTGACATATGTTCATTTAAGATTTGATAATTCTTTTAAAATTTTTGAAGAGCTGTTGATTTTTACACAATTTGTGTCAAAACTAATGCCATCAATCAATTTTAATTGAAGATATTCATCATCAGTAGCTGATTAAGTTTTGTTTTCGATCGAGGTTGCGTTGGAGTGGACAAATATGAAAGTGCATTCTGATATTTAGATGATACTGCATCTCCATTTAATTTTTTTTTTCTTTGCCTCTCCATAACAGTACTGACAATCTTCACAGTTCTTTTCAATTTTTCATTATACCAATCACTAAAACATATTACGAAATCTGTTTGATTAAAGTGAAGTGAACAAACTTTAGAATATTTGTTTGGAACATAATTTTTACAAAGAATAACACGTACCCATCAAGCACACAAATCCGGATTTTTTAATGGGTAGATGTGAAAAGATACATCGTTTTTCTTTTCATTTGCTGCATTTGATTTGCATCCTCTTTTACATCCGTAAGCTGAATATTTATTCACCATTATATATATATATATATACATATATATATATATATACATATATATATATATACAAATATTAAATACAATGTAAAATTATTTTAAAAAAAAGAAAATTAACGATTAACGATAAAAAAGTTTTCAGTAAATGAACGATGATTGAAACTCAACAGCATCATAAAGCAAAGTGTTCCACAGATAAACAAAAATTGTTTAAGCAAAGGTCTTTTATTTAACAAAGCATTAGCTTAATGCCTAGGCCTATTAAGCTCATGTTATGATGTTTTTGTGTTAAGCCATTCGGGTCTAGAGGCTAATATATCAAGATGTCTATGTTCCATGTAAAGTAAACTATAGGCTCATTGGCTAATGCACACTTACATATTCATATTTGCAAAATTTCATTTGCAGTACATATTTTTTTATATAACAATACTAGTTTACAGAATATCATTATTAACAATCAATCAATAAATCAATCAATCTTCGTTTTGCGTCCAGAGACCCGGTTTTCCGAAGTAGGACGTTGTTTTCTTTGCCATCAACTTTTTGCGCCAAATTAGACGATCAGTTGTATCCATTTCATTTAAATTTAGAGCTTTCATGTCTTGCTCGATTGTTTGCGACCAGGACTTCTTTGGACGGCCTTTGGGACGTGTGCCAGGTACTTCAACATCTGCAAGAAAAGTTATGGCACGGTTTCCACTTCGTTTGACATGACCAAACCACCGCAGACGGTGTTGCCGGCATTCGTCCTTCATATCATCTAAACCAGAACGACGCAGGATTTTGGTAGATTTGATGTGGTCCTTTAGACTAATTCGTTGCATCCATCGGAGTATTTTCATGTCGGTTCGTTGAAGTTGTTGTTCCAGTTTGGTTGTCATTAGCCATGTTTCTGCACCATATAACAACACCGAACGTATCACAGATTTATAAAGTCTTGATCGTAGTGGTAGTGGGATGTTACGCCGCATCAATATAGAGACAAAGAGATGCTATTTATTCCAGGCTGCACGTATGCGTGCTCGAACGGCAGCTTCAGCCGTTCCAGTACAATCCAGAACATCCCCTAGATATTGAAACGATGTGACTTTCTCTATCTTAATGGCTTCAAAAACAGTGCTATTTCGAATTTGTTGTCGTGGATTGATGCAAGCAGGACAAACAAAGTTGGACACTTTAGGTTAAGTACCAATTATTTTTGAACAACGTTTGTGACACCACTGGTTACACTGCTGACGACACTTGATTGAATTGTTACCTACACCAGCTTTACAAACTGAACATGGCCATCGTCCAGTAGCTGTGGATTGGATAGGTTCACCAGTGTTCATTGCTTTGGTTTTGCTGATGTTGACTTAGAATCCATGATCGGCGAGTCTGGTGTTCCAATCTTCATACATCTGTGCTGCATTCTGCTCAGACGTGGCTGTTAAAACGATATTTTTTTTTATTAGTCTTTATTATTGCAGCTCTGACATACGCAGAACCACTTACAATGTTACAGATATAATCTATGTATCTTTATTATGTTCTTCATATCTTCAACCAATGACATGAAGCAGCCATCTTTCGCCACAAAGGCTGTTTTATCCTTTTCACACGACGTACACATGTATTTTATGTGCACGCGCAAGCACCGCATCATATACGCTGAGTATATGATAGCCATTGAGATGTTTGACTCAGCGCGCAATTGAACCACTGAGCCACCTCGCCGGCCAACATGCGACAACTTATGTCGTCTACCCATTTACCAGCCTCGAAAAGATGGACGGCTGGCTTGACCGGGAGTCGGCTACCCGGATGAACCTGTAGAAACTGCAGAATTCGAACCCGGGTCGTGGAAGTGGTATCATCAGCATATACTAGATTCCAAATGTCACCAGTGCGCATCGGTTTTGTGATTTCTTCATTTATTTCTTCATTAATCATTTTAACAAAATTTTACTTATTCAATGTTCTCGAGTGTGGCAGTGTTAGTCCACTTTTTCTTAAAAATTGGTATGCACGAGGACCATGAAAATGCAGCTGCATATAAAAGGTCTTGTAACTATCATTATATACTTTGTTAACTCTTTTAAATGGTATGAGTTTTTTATCTAGAAGCAAAAAACAAAAAAACAAAAAATTCATTTTGCTATGGTTATATAACTTTTTATGTAGCTAATTCATTTTTTAATTTATTACATCATTCATAAGTTTTCTTATTGTCGCGTGCAGCATTGTCATTCTGGACTTGTAATACTTTGATTGCCTTTTGCTTTTGCCTGATATTTTTATCGTTATGTGCATCCATTGAGCAAAACATCAAAATATGATTTAAATTTGAAAGTAAATAGCTGCATTTAAAATTTTTCATCATATATATATATATATATATATATATATATATATATATATATATATATATATATATATATATATATGGTAAACAAATGGCGGACGGCCGTAAAATTATTATTAGCGAACTTTTATGGTTTTTCAACCGTTATAGCGATAAATTTAATGATAATGATAAATTTAAGAGTTCCGTTATAAGTTTTTATACCGCAGCTGAATTTCAAGATGCTCACAAAGTTCTACTTTATGAACTTGAGACTTTAAAGAAAGAAAAGGTCAAATTATCTTCCAAAGGTAACACAAGAGCAGAAAAAGCAAATGACATAATTGAAATGTTCAACCTGACGTCTTCGGAAAAAATCAGAGATAATTTGCCGTTGTTTGCTGTTATTGCAATTGAACGTCTGCCCAATGATAGTTGTCAATTTGACTCTATAAGCTTAGTTGATAAATTTTCTAAAATTGAAAAAATAATAGATGACAATAATAATATATGCAAAAAAATATGGTCTAGCTCTTTAAAAAATAACAATAATAATATGGTTACAAATAATAGCCATAGGTATGCAAGTAGTGTGAAATTTGGCACTTCAAAGTCTAACTCTACACAGCCCTCTAGACCACCCAGTTCAGCAATAACCACTGAATGGGGCTCTGATACTAACTTAATAAATGATGATAATTTCAACAAGAAACCTGCTAACCCTAACCCTAACAATAATACAAATGATGATAATATAAAAATTAACTCACAGTCAGATGACAGTGATAATGATTTTAAAACTGTTGTTAATAAAAACAAAAAAAGAAAACTAACCAATATGTACACCACAGCAGTAAAAAGTAATATCAGAAAATGTTCAGGCAAATCAAAACTTGATTTGGGGTTTGCAGCTAATGATCCCCCAATCAAAAAATCCATTCTTTATGTGGGCAATCTCACTTTCTGTAAGACTGAAGTTATTGCAAAACATTTGGAAAAGGCTGGCTTTGATCTCATATCATTACATCCCATTAAGAAAAAAGAAAAAGATAGTGTTAGTAACAATGAAAATATTGATGGTAGTACTTCATTTCGCTTGTGCTTGCCGCTAGACCAAAGTTCCAAAATTTTTGACGATGATTTATGGCCCATGAACACCGTAGTGCGGGATTGGACATTTCAGGATAAACCCCAAACTGTTTAACCATGGCGTCATTTGAAACTTTCAACATTGTTCATTCAAATGTCAATGATTGTAGATACTATAGTTGATAATTTTATAAATCAATTTTGTTCCAATAGTAATTTTAAAATTAACTCTTTTTCTTTTCTACATCTAAATTGTCGGAGTGTTACTAATAAGCTGTCAGATTTACAAATTTTGATTAAATCATTTTCTAACATATTTCATTTCATTATTGTTTCTGAAACCTGGTTAAATGACGTTACATGTAAATTAGTTAATATTGATTCCTACAATTTTGCTTGTAAAAATAGAACAGGCGGAATTGGAGGAGGTGTAGGTATTTTTATTAGAAAAGACATTCCTTTTGTAACTAATTTAATATCGATATTTGATGATGATCTTTCAGATAGTTTATGTATTAATGTTACTTGCAACTATTTTAAGGGTACAATTTTAGCCATATATCGACCTCCTGCTTCTTCCTTCGATGCTTTTTTAAGACATCTGGAATGTATTTTGGATAAGCTTAAACCTACAACGGATATTTACCTTGTTGGTGACATCAATGTTGACCTATCTAAATGCACTACTCAAAGTATGGCAATTAAATATTTACAACTTACAATATTTCCTCGACGATTGAATTACCTACACGAGTAACAAATACATCAGCCACTCTAATTGACCACATCTTTAGTAATAGTTCTTTACCTCATACAGCTGGTATTCTTTTATCTGATTTTTCGGACCATTATCCAATATTTTCATTCTTCAATAGCACAAATTTGTCCTCTCAGCCACCTGGTATCTTAGGTACTCGTCATTTCACTACTAAAACTTTTGACATTATCAATAAAATTTTATCCATGACCAAATGGGATGATGTACTTGGATCTGAAAACGTTGAGGTATCCTGTCTGTCTTTCTATAATCACTTTAACTCTATAATTGATAGATATGCTCCAATCAAGGTAATTAACAACAACAAGCACAAAGGATGGATTACCAGGGACATCATAAAAGCCTCTAGAATAAAAAATAAACTATTTAAAAAATGTATTTTGAATCCCACACCTTCTAATCTAAAGATATATAAATACCACCGCAATCGTTTCACTAGTGTTATAAGAAAGGCTGAGCGTAATTATTATAGTAATATATTTTCTAACAATGACTCAAAATTTAAATGGAAATTCATTAATTCGTTGCTTAATAATGCCTCTTCTCATAATATTTCTCAATTAATGATTGATGATAACGTGTTACTAACAATTGA